AATCTTTACGCTCTTAATGGCAGCCTGCAACATTAAATTACGCGGAAAACAGTCGACGAGGGAACGCTACTTTACATTTTCAATTACGCGGGAGAAATTCCACCCGGGTCCGGATTTGCTCTGTTGATGAAGCGTTTCAGAGCGATCACAGAATTTGAGGACAATTTGCTGAAATTCAGTCTTCGCTTTGAAGGCGTTTTACTTCAGTTCTCAAAAGAAATTTGCAGGGGGAAAAGCAAAAGATGGCTTCAGAATTAACAAAAAAATAAAAATAATAAACCTGGCATTTAATACAGCGCCTTATCACGTCTTCGATACGTCTCAAAGCGCTCCACGGAATATACTGTAAAGTGAAGTGACTGTATATGTTGTAGGGGAAACGCGGCAGCCAATTGCGCACAGCAGCGTCCCCACAAACAGTCGTGGATTAAGTGTCCAAATTATTAATATTATTTAACAGACGGTAACAGAGGCGGGTGGAGTGAGGAAACTTGCCTGAGGTTTCGCCCCGTCCGGGAATCGAACCCAGGTCCTCTGTCTTGCGAGGCGATCGCAGTAACCACTACACTACGGGACTCCACGTATTGATTTTACATTCAGAATAGTGTTATGGGATTAGAATTCCAGCTGTCTCTGCACCACAGTAAAGAGCGAATGATTGATATCATTCCGTTACAATGAAATACTGCTCGAGTCTAATCATACTGGACTGTCAGGGCACCTTCTTTCTGTGTGATATACAGAGGATGCATATTGCAGGAAGCGGATCACAGATAAGCTAGCAAGTGGCGCTGGTGTGACTGAGTGTTGCTGGTTCCATCGTAGGCTTTAATTTTCAGTGAATGCAAACCGCTATCTCCGCACATGTTTTGTTACCTGTCCCCCGCCCACCGGCTGCCTGCCTATGCTGAAATAAAAATGAGACTCTCACTATATTGCTTAGGTTTCCGCTGTGTCACACCCTTGTCGGCCAAAGGCGAGGTGGCCCCTGGGTTGGTGCTGTGATCCGCTGAGTGATCAGTGTCGTTCGGTCGCTTGGTCCATGTCCGGGAGACACAGAGTTTCGCATCAAGGATTCAGAGGAGGTTAGAGAGTGAAACAGGTCGGCCAGAGAGAGACTGTGGCGGAACAGATTGCAGGTAGAATGTGTGGAAGGAATGGGTTTTTAATGGATCGAATCGTCCTTTATTTCTCCACGCTTTCACATGTTCGTGGTGAAAGTGATCGACAGCAGGACCCTGCGAGAGGGCTTTGGGGCAAGACTGGAATTACCAATTAGCTGCAGCAGTGAGACCTTCAACTCATCAATGCAGCTTGTGGAGTATAAGTGGAGGGTAGCCTTAATTTAGCAGAGCGATGGAAAAGTGTTGGAAGCGTGGATTATTGTAGTGAGTGTCTATCTCTTTCCACCATGTCTCTGGGCTGGACAAGCTTGTCCCCCAACCCCGCAGCTCTTCCCCACCCCGAACCCCCTTCCACATACTCCCTCCTCCATTTCACAGCCAGATACACAACAAAATCAGTGTCTGCGACGTGAGACAAGCAGTTGATCGATCGCTCGCAACCCGGGCTAACTAACGGGCTGTAGTCCTCAGACACCCATTATGGTTCCAGACACATAACACAGGCTGTACAAGTTACCCTGTTCGGCGAGGGAACTCAATCTAATCTAATACATAGATGTTTTCGACAAAGTACATGTGCAGAAGTTACTCATTGCTGAGCCTAGTACAGAACCCAGGCCCCCGAGCCTTGAAACTATTAGCTTTGTTAAACACGGCATCGTCGCAATCAGTTAATGTCTTGTATCAGCCAAAGAGAGAGAGAGAGAGAGAGATTGGGGAGAAATGTATAGAAAGAGAATAATTGAGACAGAGATAAAAGAGAGTTCAAGAGACCAGCCTAGAGTGAAATAAAAAGCACTCCATTTGTAGCAATGAGCACAACAGCTTTTTTTTTGCCAATGAGCTCTTTGAGCTCAGCCTCCCAAACTGAACTGACTGATTATTACAGACTCAACTCGACCTCTCAACCTCTCCGAGTTAGCTCTGCAGCAAAGCTTTAAGTTGCACAATTCACCCCCAAACGCCCCCAAATACAGTCAATTCACTTTACAGCATATTCTGTGAAGCGCTTTGAGACGTCTAGAAGACGTGAAAAGCGCTATATCAAATGCAAAGATTATTATTATAGTGTGTGCATTTGAACAGCGCTTTGGATCAAGCTGCCGAAAACACCGCTGAGCTGCTAAAAGAACGACTTTCAATGCATCAGACGCCACTTCCACCTCTTGAAAGTCTCAGTGTCTCCAGTGATGATTGTTAAACACTCTCAGGTCAAGTATGAAATGAACAAATGATTCAATCAGCTTTTTTTTGTTAACTCGCCTAAGAACAGCCCGGGAAAATAATGTACCTTCACAGTGACAATGGGGCTCTCAACGTCCTTACTGAAGAGAGATACAGATCCATGCTGGAGGAGGGTCAATGCAGTGGCCCCATCTCCCACCTGAATCAGACGCTCACCCAGGTCTTTCCATTACCCAACTCCCACAGTAGAGAGTCTCTTTCACTTTCTTTTCCTGGCTCGCTCACCATATGCCAAGTTGCATTCATTGCCTTTCATTCATTCTGCCCTTTCATTTGAAAGGCTCCTTTGTCTTCCCTTTGGATCTTATCATGGTGCTAAGTTGTGAAATAGCTTATCATGTTTCTGCAATAGCCTGTGTCTCGCCGATTTCTATTATTACGAATCCATTTCATCCTCAGTCAAAAAAATTCAAATAGCTTTACCAGCGAGGAAATATGCTCCAATTCTTAGACTATCGGTCTCAGAATGAAATCTCTCAATCGTTCCGAGATTCTATTAACATCCATCTGAACAGGCAGATGGAACCGTGGTTTAATGTCTCTCCAAAGGACAGTGACTTGGATTACTACCCCTAGTCAGCATTGTATTGGACCTACTGAACCCTACCAACCTGCCCCTGTCCCTCCCATCGACAGGCACTGGTCTAGTCCATGTCCCTCACCCTGCCCATTGGGCCTTCAGCCTCTCTTCCCCCACCCTCTGGAACTCCATCCCAGAGGCCCTTCGCCTACATCATTTACAAGCAGACAAGCCTTGTTCAAGGCACATCCCAATACCTTCCTCTTTGACCATGCCTTCGGTCATCCTCCCACCCCCATCCCTCTTTGCCCTCCACCCCTGGTGATTCCAGCCCCCAGCTCGGGTGCAAACCCTTCACTGTCAGAACACCTTGGGACATCCTCCCGACCTGAAAGGTGCTGTGTAAATGCAATTTGTTGTTGTTGGTCTGTTGTTGATGGAGTGCCATCCTGCACTGTGAGTTCCAAGTCTCAACATGGGGCTTGGACTACTACCCCTAGTCAGCATTGCATTGGACCTACGAAACCCTACCAACCTGCCCCCCTCCCTCCCATTGACAGGCACTGGGGAGCCAAAGGGTATCACGGGGATATCGAGAAAAGAAAAAAGAAATGGGTTTAAAAGGCCAGCGGTGATCCAAAAATCGGGCACGAGTTTGAAAAACAACAGGTTATTAGTGTACTGTTGCTGGCAGCATTACATGAAGAAAAACAGTGATAACAGTGGGAAATGGAACATCATCACCTTGCTTACAGTTTTAATTAACCATGTGTCAAGTCAGAACTGATTTATAATCTATTCCTACCAGGCTGTCTGGGTCTGTATTTTTTTTAAGATCTGGAAGTTCTCTTTCTTGGCTAAGAAAAATGTCTTTGGGAAATCTGGCAAGTCATTGAGAATTTCCTGTTCCACGTTGCCTTATTGGGGTTTACTTGTTTTTTTCTTTTTGGCTTGTCTGCTTGTAAATGATTAATGCCGACTATTTATTAATACATTACCTGGTGGGGCATCCGTGAGCTGGGAAACAAATTTGTTCTCAAAGCAGAAAGCTAATGCCTTTTGTTTGCGAAATGCATTTCTATGTTTTGTAACGTCAGGAAAAACCTCGGAGGCTCCCCGTGTGCCTCTGAGACTTTAAAGTATGTGCTTAGCACGAAAGCCAACAGCCTCACAGAACTATTTGTACATTGTACTTCCTCCCGAACTGTTCAGAGGCTGAATGTTTAGCTGAAGGACCAGACGAAAATTCAAGCATTTCGCCTTGTGTGGTTATATACCCCTTAAAGTCTCCACCGCAGTTAAATTGCACTAATTTTTTCCTCCAAATATCATTGCATCCGTACATATGATCCTCCAAGGAAAGAGTGCATATTCCATTCCAGACATGGGGGAAATATCCATGAGAAGGTGGAACTCCCAGTCTGGTTTGGATACTCTTTAAGCACAGTGATGGGTTTCCACGTATATCAGACACCCGGCTGATTCCACCCCCCCCACCCCCCCCACCCCCCAAAAAAATGCAAATAATTATAATCCTGGCAATTTGATATGATGTCTTTCACGTCAGGAGGACATCACGAAAGGCTTCACACGATTTACTGCAAAGTGCAGTGACCCACCCCTAATGCTTAAAATAAACTATTCGAAAAGAGAAGGGAATTTCTCCAGTGTCCCGGGCAAGAATCGTCCCCGCAAAAATTGGTCAGTCACCTCATGGCTGTTTGTGGGACGTTGTTGTGCGCAAATTGGGCTGCCGCATTGGCCTACAAAATACACAGTCACTGCACTTGACGGGGAAAACCTAATGAGCACCTGGCGAAATGCAGGAGGATGGTCCTTAAAACCACCACTGTTTGTGGGGACTCTGCTGTGCTCAATTGACTGCCGCGTTTCGCCCACAAAATACACAGTCGCTACACCTTGCAGTAATATTCTGTGAAGCGCCTTGAGACGTCTCGAAGACGTGATAAGACGCTATATCAAATGCAAAGATTATTATTGTTGTTACTGTTGTTATTATTGTTACTATTGTTGTCATTATAAGAAATGCTCTGGACAATAAAAATGCCCCATAATTCACGCTCCGTTTATCTGTTTCGAATGCTTTTCAGAACTGCCGCAGAGACCTCCCGGCAAGTTCACGTTCAGACCATTGCCACCCCCTCCCCCGCCTCCTCACGGCTGCACGTGTCGGAGCCAGCAAACCCAGTCTTTGGACTCTCTACAGAGAAACGCAATGACCGTACGGAGCCAGCCAAGCCCGGCTGCCACTGAGCCGCCCGCCAGCACCCAGCAAGACTCGGCACAGCTCCACAACAGTTGGGTGCTTAACAGTAATATTCCACTCGAGACCAGGTGTGTTTCAACTGCTGCGCGCTGTCAAAAATCAAATCGTCGCTCGTCCAAGTAGACAATAAAATGCTGCGTCGCAAGCTTATACCAGGGCTGTCGTGAGTGGTTCGGTAATTAACACCCGTAAAATAACTCTCTGCGGAAAGCAACAGGCCCGCAAAATTGTTTTCGCTTCGGAGAAGCGGGGAAGGCAAGAGCTCTGCCTGATGTATGTGTTGGTGTACAGTAAACACCTGATAACTCGTCACTCCGAGGGATAAAGGGGCTCAGTGACACACTCGGCATACGTATAAATACATAAATATTTATATGCGGAGTCGATTTGAAATTATCTCTGTTATTCTTGTTATGAACGAGCACCAGGAAGGGATATTGACGGCGTGATGACTTAAGTGGCAGTGGCTAGTTAAGTCAGGGTCAAGTTATCAGGAGTTTGACTGTACTTATGCGATTGTTGGACAGAAATGCTGACCCTCCTCAGATTGCTCCCCCCACCTCCAAAATCAGGTCCGAAATTCCACCTGGTCTTAGCCTTAGCGTCGTAAGCCCCATTTGTCTTAAAGTTAAGGTCAGCGGGAATTGCAGAGGAATGAAATTGAATTCTCTCTTAATTTGAAAGCCGGTGTTTCCTTGGTTAGTTTTTAAACAATGAAGCAACTTGCAACCCAAGGCTGAATTAAAGAAGCGTCCACATGTTTGGGACGCACGGTCTCGCAGACTGAGACTAGGGGGGAACTTGGGACCCATTGGGAGCTCCCTCTCTCACCCAAAACCACGTGAGTGAGATGCTGAGCAGAGATGAGGCACTTCATTGCACGTGAAGCAGAGCATCAAAGGCTGAGCCCACACACTGTTCGTCGAGCACAGTCGGTGATCTCGAAACATCTGGGCAATAAGGAATGTTGTTCCAGCCTTTTAATGAAGGTCAAAGTGGGATCTGGTGTCTTACCAGCCTGTTAACTGTTCAAAGAAAAATATGGTGGAATGGTGGGGAGGGGTGGGGAGGAGATGTGTCCTGCAAGAAATCCTGGTGCTCGTTCATAACAAGAATAACAGAGATAATTTCAAATCGACTCGGGTTGTGAAAGGCAAGTCATGCCTGGAACTCTTATTGGAATTCCCTGACATTGCAGTAGAGGTGGTGGATAATATCCATGTGGTTGATTTTCTGTTCTGACGATGAGGAAATAAACCTTTGATGAGATCTCTCACGAGGGGCTTTGTGGCTGAAATGAAAGCTCGTGGGATAAACAAAGCCATTGTGAACCGGAGAATGAATTGAAATGACAATAGGAAACATGAAGTCGTTATCAATATTTCTCCTAATTAGACAGTTATAGCCAGTAGATTGCTCGAATCCCACTTGTCTCTGAATTATTTTGGCAATGGCCTTTTGATAAAGGTGAATGCAGCCGCTAATAATGTCAGGTTGTGGTGGAAAATCTCACTAATTTGATGGGAGAGAGATTGAATTTAATCAAGTTTACAGAGACTAGGCAACTGCAGAGATGGCATGCGATTTTGGGAAATGTGGTCAAATGCACTGGTCATAAAACATCAAGCATATTTCCAAAAATTGAGATGAAATTACTAAACACAGTGAATCGGGGGGGGTTGGGGGGGGAATAACTTAATTAAGTGTTGAAGACCCCATTCTTCAACATTGGGGTGTGGTAGGAGGGCCATAGCACATAGATTATTATTATTATTATTACAGATCCAAGGAAGAAAGACTTGACATCTTATAATGTTTTAGCCAAAATTGTTTAGCACCACACGTCTGAAAGGCTAAATGACTGTTGAGCAAATTCATAGCCAATGAAAGACAATTAGTTGCTAACGGTGTTCACATAGTTAGGGAGGACATAGAGAATTATTTTTGTCTATAAAGAAGGATACAATTATCGACTGCAAAAGGCTCTGCTTGTATTTATTTTTATAGTCTTTTATTACCAATCTTAATGATCAGCAGCAGACATAGGAGTAAGGGCTTGACAGTGGAACAATGTGAAGGTGGATAAAATCGATGCATTTGTTATAGCACTTTTCACGTCAGGAGGACGTCTCAAAGCACTTCATAGCATTCAGTGTAGTGAAGTTGTGAACTGTGTATTTGTAGGCAAAGTTAGCAGCTAATTTGTATAATAGTCCTTGCATTTGATATAGCGCCTTATCACGTCGTTTGAGACGTCTCAAAGCGCTTCACAGAATAGATTGCATAGTGAATTGACCGTGTATTTGTGTATTTGTATTTCGCCCTGCCGGGTATCAAACCCAGGTCTCTTGCTTGCGAGACGAATGCTCTAACCACTGAGCTACAGGACTCCAAGTATACTGTACAGAATATACTGTAAAGTGAATTGATTGTATATTTTGTGAGAGAGGTATACAGTCAATGCTCAAATGACTGCATACAGCAATGTCTCGCAAACAGCCATGAAGCGAGTAAAAGGCTCTTCCTTTGTAAAACCTCTTCTAGGTTTAAAAAAAATCTTTAGAATTGAGCAAAACGTGAATTTGGGATAAAGAATCAAAAATCCTCTCTGTCAGAGTCACCGTGGGTTTCTAACTCAGCCCAGATGGGTATTAAATAGCTGCTTCACATCCAATAGTCCATTACTTCATCAGTCTCTAAACTATGCAGATGAATAGCTGGGCCAATATCTCATTAAGAAAGGTATAAAAGGCTATCAGGATAAGTATAGGACAAGATGATTAAATATTCCACAGATTGCTACGATTCCAATCCCTTTGGGACTTTCTGAGTGCCATCTGTGAAATTTAATTTTCAGGTTTGAATTATACAGAAGCTAACGTGAGATTTATATCCTGTTATCTATTCGCCCGAATGCCTTTTTTTTGGAGCCGGGAAGAAAGTTTGCAAAGTTTCTTTTACTTTCTCTCCGATTTAATCTGCGATCAATCACATCCCTCAGGAAACCACACTCAAGTAGTCTGACCTGACACTGCAATGTCAGTGCTGGATGGGTGGGGGGGGGGGGGGGTTCAAAGTTCTTATTTGCGAATTGTTTATCTTTGTTTTGGTCAGCCGAGTGTCCAACACACTCTTAAGCCCATCACCTTGCTTAACACCACCCACACATGGAAGTTCCTGGGTCCGGAACAGAATGCTTACTGTCAAATTATCAAGAGACACCAGGGTGTTGATCAAACCAGGACACATGACCTGACAGCCTTCCTAGTCCGAGTGGAATTCTCATTAAAGGTCTATAGGGTGAAGATGCATCCTCTGGGGGTGGAAGGGGAAATCATGGCCAACAATCCCCCAATAAAATTGGTCACTCACTCCATGGGTGTGTGTGGGACGCTGCTGTGAGCAATTGTGCTGCCGCGTTTCGCCCACAAAATACAGTCAAATCCACTTTGCGGTACATCATGTGAAGCGCTTTTAGACGTCTTGATGACATGATAGGGCACTGTATCAACTACAAGGATTATTATTATTAGAGTCTCAAAGAGCTGACCTTTGCCCTCGCTTCCCCATCATCAGGTTGCACTCTTTGCACCTCGAAGGCTTCGCGCCATTAATTGTAAAGGAATTAGTCCAATTTTAATGATTGTCGGCCCATCAAAAAATCTACCCCCTTATTTCTCTTCAACTTGCTCAGTGATCAAAGCATGGTCCCAGTTCCATTAAGAGGTATTAAAAGCCAGTCGTGAATGCCAGACAACTGATAGAGGTCTTGCCATTGGAAATCAATAGAAATAAGAGGCTTGGACAGTCTAATTGAATAAAGATGATGTTCATGTGATGCCTGAAAGCAGTTTGTCAGGAAAGTGAGACGTACAATAGTGAAGCAACCAGAATGCCACTCACTAAATGAATTCAGCAATCTACTTTTTTTTTATATCTCTCTCTCTCTATATATATATATATATATATATATATTAAAGAGATTTGCCCTGCTGCCAAAGGGTTGTGCCTTACAAGTGAGTAGAATATAAAATGTATAATAACTGCTATAATAAAAGGCAAATGCAGTGAAGATCAGACTGGAGGGAGCATTCATATCTGGGAGATTATTTTTGCAATGAGCTGGTCAGATCTGATTTCATAACAAACAGACTCATGAGAACGAGGATGTTTGATGTACAATCTGAATATGCGGTAAGGGGATAATCCATGGTTTCTCTTGGTGAGAGACACTGGGTAATTGATTGCAAAGTACTGTGTGCGAGGATAAACTGAGAGGTTGCATAGGAACACAGAGACCCGCCGGAGAAGACCGTTCTATTATTCAACCCCCTCAGTTCGTTTGTAATCGAAACTTACTGGAGCAAAATAATGGAGGGTTTTGGCAGATCAAGCTCACTCCGTCTACACTGGACAGGGTAGTATCCCATCATGCACATCAATCATCTTGCTTGCTCGCTCCTTCCCTCCCTCGCCCGCGCTCTCACTCGATCCCAGGCTCCAGCAGTGTTGCTATTGCAACAACACATCATCAGGAGTGTAAAACAAACCTGTCTCACAGGAGCTAAGCCCAGCTCTACGTTCCCTGTGAGTGGGAGAACAGTCCAGCGTTTGCTAAGTTCTGCTTCACAACGGTAGGAAGAGTTGACATTGACGGATCACTCTTCCACTCGCTCACTCATTCGCTCTCTCACTCACTCACTCGCTCGCTCGCTAACTCCTTCACTCACTCATTCCCTTGCCTGCCTGTTCACTCACTCGCTCACTCACTCACTCATTCACTCACTCACTCAGTTTCTCATTAGAAATGTACCCCAAATTCACTCTCAGAAGCCCCCAAAAAGAAAACAAGCCAAGATCTGCAGGATCTATCTCTTCCTGAAATCTACACCGTCAACACTGGCCAAGTACCAGGACCACAGATCATGGTGGCAATTTCAATCTCTTCATTCATTAATTAATTAATTAATTAATCTACAGCCCTCAATTCCTTTGCTCAAGACAAACACATCCAGTCCTTTCTCCTAGATGTTAATCGGCTTGCCATTAATCAATTTACCTTGAAGTT